CCCCCCCCCCACCTTCTTCTCCATGGGGCTGAGATCTGGACTGTTGGAGAGGGCATGGCTGTCACTTACTAAATAGCAGAGAAGTCACTGTAGTGTCACCATAATGCAACTTTCCAGAAACCTGCCGTCTGTAATTTACTGGAAATCTACCCTCTAGGGCAGTGATTTTCAACCATTTTCATCTCATGGCACATAAACTAATTACTAAAATTCTGCAGCACACCAAAAAATGTATTTTTTGCCGATCTGGGGAAAAAAAAAAAGGTATAATTGTGATTCATTCACACCAGATGGCTATTGTTGTGTTGGCTGTTGTCATTTTTTTATTTGACAATCTAAGGGAAAAGAGGTCAGTGCCCCTGACTAAACAGTCAGGTATTGCATGTTTTGAAAATTCTTGCAGCACAACGGTTGAAAATCACCGGTCTAGTGAATCAGTGGTATTGCTATCCGATACCCTCTTCAGATAGTTGGTTTCATACCTTGAACCCAGATTGTAGGAAACAATTGAGGTGTGTGTGTGTGTGAAAACGTGGAGTTTTGTTAGCAGAGAGTGAAGGAAGAAAATTAGGCAGAAAAGACTACATAGCAGAACAATATGAGAAATAACAGTGGAAAAAGAGAAGTGCGGAAATTGAAAATGCCTAATCAGCAGTATGAAAAGGTTATTTTCCCAACTGCCATTTCCGTTACTCACACTCACAGTGTGTGTGTTCTCATTCATTCCCATTCCCATTCACGTTTGTATAATCCTCTTCATTTACCTGACTGATATATATAATACTTCCTTATAAAAAAGGCCATTCAATTATTCTCATTTCATTTTCATACTTTGCCCTAAATACATTCCCACTCAACAATATGCCGCTTTCTTACTGCTTACCAAGTACAAGAACGCTATTCACAGGCTGCTTATAAACCAAACATGTAATTTATTCCATGGTTCACGTTTTCTTCACATTCACAAATTCTACCAAGCTGGTTTATTTCTCCGATAGTACTACTGACTTTCAGTTAGTAAATTAACTGACAGAAGTAAGAATGTTTTCTCCCCTGGTTGTTTGAACTTCTAAAATGTCATGAAATGAATTTATTGCACATCGGATAAACCAGAGAAGGCAGCGGTGAAATAACTTAATTCAGAAAGTATATATGACCGCTTATATTTTGCTTTGGCTGACACCTTGCCAGGTGTTGTGAAACAAATCTGTGAACTCTTTTCTCCTTAAAGTACTTATAGTTTTGTTGGAGTGATAAGAAAACACAATGAAACAGGTATAAATATGGGAAGATAATGTTAGCATCTACCCGAATGTGCCTGTTTGAAATGCTTCATGTATCATAGGAGAGTGTGTGATTGCATCAGAGTAGGGCCAGGTTTCATGGAGGACGAGACCACATTTTAGCAGGCAGAGAGAAGGGTTTAGTTTTTCCCAGGTAGGGGACGTCTGATAGAGCATGCTGCATGAGAAGAGGAACTGGAGATCGGATCAGAAGTGGGTTTTTTAAGGAAGTAGTTAGGAGACTGGTCCAGTAGGAGTGGGGAGGTGAATGATGCTGGGAGTTATGTTGGGAGTTATGGGAGACATGGCTGGAGGGCTAAAGGGCGTCCATTAAGGAAGCCCTTGGATACCAGAGAAGACATTTCAATCCCTACTTGAAATATTTTGAGCCCTGGCACCTTTTCCTCCAGGAAGCCCTGTTGGAGCCTCTCCAGGGTGACCTTTGTTGTCCCTCATCCCTGCTCCCGTAGTGCCTCGTACGTACTCCATCACTGCACGTTTGACTTAATGTTGTAATTATCTGTTCGTGTGCCATCTGCCCACTAGTAAGTGAACCCAGCATGGCAGGGCCATGTCTTAGTCATATTTATGTCTCTAGCCCCTGGCATGTCATAATCACTAAA